ACAAAGGGAAAAAAACAATAATCAAAGATATAAACGAATTCAGTACAAGTATGGACAAAAAAAAAGCTAATTTAAAATTTACTCTGGTCGTTTGAATATTCAATTTTTAATTTATTGTTTTCCGCACTCGAGTTCACAATGACAGGCTTTTTTTTTCGTTTTTAGCTTGCGGTTTCACCTGAGAAATGCAAATATGGTTCAGAGGCACGCAACATTTTCATATTCTGAGAAGAAAAAGCGTTACTTGTAATCTCGAATTGCCAAGACTAACATTGAAGAACATTGAAACAGCACATTGTTTGAATATTCATAGGAGTCACACTTCAAAGAATATTAGTCGCATTGGAAACAATGCACGTGACGAGCTATATTATGCATGCAATCATCTTGTTCAACCACCTCAAAAATAATCTGTTACCTGTGGTCGCTAAGAAATACAAATGTTTAAATTCCGGGAGAAAAGAAATCGAGTTGATTGTACGTTACGAGTGCTTTTTGGTGTCGATGTAGAATGGCCCTCGTGGTAATATAGAACATGTTTTAAAGAAAAACTTGCAATGGGTGATGTATAGGCAGCAAAGTTCACGTGTGTTTCATCCAAAACATAGTTGTTCATACTTTATTAGAGGTAGTGGCATTTAGGAAAGATGAACCAAGCACACCATTTTGTATTAAACAAAAAAATCAAATAACTTATCGATAAAGCATTGTGTTATTCACTGCCCCATAGTAGTTGTTATTTAAAAGGCTGTACGTTGGCGGCGTGATGTAAAAATGAACATGCTATAGTTGTGTCTATAAAAGTGGTAGGTAACGTGCTGTACGTATATAATTTGAGGTTTAAACCCCACACAAGGATTTGTTTTTTTTTGTCTTTTTAACAGCGTATGCAGAAAATCAACGTAACATTACGTTACCTAACAAAGCAAGCCAAGCCAGCAGTCGGTATTAGGATTTTAAGAGTCTTGCAGATGTGGTGTATCATTATTTGGGGTTGTTGTCGTAGAAAACGCAGCTGATACGAAGAAACTTTCCAAAATAGTAAGGGTAACTCCATTTGAATACAGCAGGGGGTTTAGAACTATTATTATTTAAACTATTTTTAAGTACGATGACTACACTCTAAGAGTATTAATCTAGAGCGAAGCAGTTAAAAAAATAATACTTTCTTTATATTATCATAAATGCCATTGAGAGAAGAATATATGAAAAAGCAAAAAAGGCTTATCACAGGCCTACTTTTTACTCTATTTTTTGTTATTGCCGAACAGTAGGTTTCTGCAGCTAAGAGGATAAGAGCACCTACTGAACAGATAACGTAGTAGCTGACATGTCATTGATATTAAGAAGTAAAAGAAAATGAAGCGGAAGAAGGTAATATATTCACGAACACAGAAGTCACCTCGTTCTCATATACCGTTATCTAGGAGCCCACTAAGAACACTTTACCGACAAGAGCTCATCAGTTTGGCAATTGTGTTCAACAAATGAAATTTTGCGAACTGCACTAATGCTGCCACCTCTACGCTTACCAGTAGTAAACAGGCCTAGTCACCGAGCACTTCGAGAGCAACGGATCTCGCTGTCGTCAAGCGGATTCTTATTTACCCTTACGCCTGTCCCGCGAAGCGACGAAACGTGACGCTGCAGACGTGATGGCCCGCTGTAGTTAAAAAAAATAATAAACCGTGCCCTCTTCGCAGGTCCGGCTGGCTGGGCACAGCTTCTGCTGAAAGAGGAGAACCTCATCATCATGGCGGGCATCGCCGGTGGCGTGGTCATCATCATCGTTCTACTCATCGTTATTATTAGCATCGTTGTTATCCGAAAGCGCATTCAGTGTAAGTGGGTACATACGTATTACAAGTGTGCGCGCCCCATAACTGCCCGTTCCGTCATACGGACTTGCATTCTGTCGCTTTTCTTGACGTCACTTTTCTTTATTCGCGATATGAGCCGCACGCTCTTTCCTCTGACGCGCATGTCGCGGTAATTTCCCTCACGCGCCCGTTTTGATTTTTTTTTTTTTGAGACCGGGAACAGCCGTTTTAATGACCTTTGCATTGAATATTCTAGCGGCGATGCTCGCCACTGTGGTATGACCCATTTTTGAAATCGTTTCCCGTCTTATGTGAGGTCTATTAGCGAAGAAAAATATAACAAACGTTTAAACGTCCCGTGCTTCTCGGAAGATTTCTGTGGAGTACAATTTTCTCGGGGACCTTACGTGCTCGCGAGTGATTGTTATAGAAGGAACGACTTTTCTTTTCTAGAAGTAAGATGGGGTAGGGTTGTTTTGAAGACGTAATGGCGATGCTGTAGCATTTGATGGAAGTTCGCACGAATATCATAATCGCGATAATTTGAAGCCTTTCGGGGACCTAAACATAATGCGTGCGTTCCCTGACGGTGCATAATAATTTAGCTAAAACGGATGCTTGGTCAAGCTGGTCCACACTTCGAAAGATAAAACAAGGAGAAAACAACGCAAAAAAAAAAAGAACCGAGCGCTCTGAAATAAGCACAGGCACAGAACAGACGTAGTACTGTGTCAATACATCTTTCTGTATTCTTCTTTTGTGCCGTTTGGGCTTTTCTGAACATGGGAAATAATAAGCAAGGTGATAATTTTTCTAATTAAACTTGCTTACTGTTTCAATAAAATACAAAGATGATGGATGGTATTGTATGAGAGTACTATCAGAAGCACGTGAAAGTCTGAGCTTTCATCATGAAAGTCTCCAAGCACAGTGACTCTAATGAAGACATTAGAAGGCATCCATGAGGCCGCCACAAATATATTATGTGACGGCGTTCAATCTAGTTGATATGAAAGTAGTAAAGTGTACGCATAATTGTCGCGACGTAGGAAAAACGAATATAAATGTCGTCGTAAATATCTAGATCTCACAGCTGAATGATTAGTTCAAAAAGCACAGAAAAATAGGCCGATAAAACGGCTTTCAAATAAAGAGTCACTATAGCTATAACATTGCTCACAGTGGCATGGACAATAATTTTTCCTGAGAGAAGGGCAGTTACAACCATCGTTTGTATATGTGCGTGCATGCGCTTATATGTGTGCATATTCACTTGTACACGAAAAGTTTTTATAAAAAGTGTTGAAGGGCAGGGCAGGTTGAACTTTATGCAAGCGGTTGCTAACTTCATGCCTTCATGTGTTTAAGCTGTTAAAATTACAATGATTGGCAGAGAGGCTCAATAAAAAGCGACAACACTCCGGTGCGATTTACTTCTAACAACAACCAGAAATAAAAGTCAATTATTAAAAAAACAAGTCTGACAGGAACGTATATGTATAATCACCAAGCGAATGTGTGAAGAAAGTGTACTAAGCCTATCGTTATGTTGGAATGACACCGGAGTGTTGTAGAGAGGGCAACAAAGGGCGGCTGGTATAGTCTTAAAATCAGGGAAGCTGAGTAGAGGTTTGCTTGAAATATATGTGATAGCTAGAACCGATGTTTTTTTTATCATAATAGGAAGGAGTGCCAGAAGAACACAAGTGGCAATCGAACATGCCAAAGGTTCAAGGGGCATTATAGAATTCATAACTTTGTAAGTGTAGCACAACCTTCGCTGGCCAAAAAATGTTTGTCAGACACTACTATAAGGTTTGTCGCTGCAGTGGTCACAAAGTATTTACGTTTGTGACTGCTACAGCGGTAACGCCAAATAAGTCATGTAGAATGACCCATATAGATGAACACAACGACCCCTGAAGTGAACATGTATTTACAAGCATGTGCTCCTGCATGTGCTGGTGTTTTTGCGTGCCCGGATACACTTTAATAGAATGGCATATTAGTGCTAACATAAAAGAGGGAATGATTGTTTCTCACGATAAAGATATTAGCGTGCAATGAATATAGACAATGGTGCATTGCAGGAACAACCAAAATAAGGTTCGTTTATTTTCCTTTTCTTTCAGCGAACACAAAACCACGTCTCGATGAGCGTGAAAAGTGAGTAAAATGCTTTTGCTAAGGAAATTCGTCATTGGGTCTGTTCTTCGTACAACAGCTGCATCACGGCGCAGTCAGATATTATAACGCGAAAATTTCCTGAAACATTCTCAACTCGTAATCTGTTGCGCCAATGGTTAATCTTTCTCGAAGTGAATTAAGCAGACAAATAGTTTGTTGTATGGAGAGACCAATCTGAACGAATAAGTATTAGCTGCCTAACTTACACCAATATATGAAAACATTCTGTATGTTTGCCTGACTGATAGAAATGATTTCATGTCGCAACAATCTGAGCTTTTCCTGACAATGCCTTGTGGTTATGCGTTGAGCTCTCTCTACAGCCTATCAGAATTTTTCAGTGACTGTGGTGCCGTTGAGAATTCCGAGTATAGGAGTATAGGAGTATAGGTATAGGAATAAAACGTGCTAACCATGAAATATTATAGCACCTCTGATGTCGTTTCGCAGTGTGTGTTTTAAGCATGTGATGTCGAGCAATCAAACAACCAGCAAATCAATGAATCGTATAGGCTCGTTATCATCTTCTGGTCAACTATACTCTAATTATGCATACAAATTACATGCATTCGCGTAGCTTCACCTGAACGTCCTCAACGCTGGCACCAGAGTTACCTTATGCATTGCTCTTTGAAAGAGCGGTTGTTGGATGCCACATATACTTGAATTACTGAGCACAAGTTCCGCTAAAGCACTGCGTAGTGAAGGGTAATATTATGAAATTTAATACTTTTTATCTTCAAGTTTTCTTAACGTTTTTCATAAATTTATGTAGATGAACTACGTTAGTACCGGTAGCTGCACTGAATAGGCAACTGTTAGAATTAAAGGTTGAGTCCTTGACGAACGAATATACAAAACACCGAGAAATGTCATATGCCATTATTGCGAAAAAAACAATAACAAAAACAATAGCTGGTGGCGTTCTCTCGTTTTACAGAGCTATTGTGGAGATTGGCCATGGCAGCCCCCAAGGAAAGCTCTCTTTGTTGGCTGACATGAAACGCGGTGGTAGTCCGCTTTTCGAAGAAGGTACACATCCTTCGTAGAATTTCTAGCTAAAAAGCCTGCACGTGTGCTTACGTTTCAGATATGTATTAACATCGTGTAGGTCTTTTAACGACACTCCTGCAGCATTAACAGTAAAGTCACACGCCGCGTTCCTCTTAGTTATCAGCTTGTTGGGCGCTTCAGATAGTTCTTCACGTAATTTTTATAGCCAACGCCTTTACAAAGATGAAATAAGGGCTCAAGGCAAAAGACATCCGCAATGCAATCGTACAAAAAAATAAAGTGTGTTCTGCAACAATTTTTGAGATGAAAGTAGTGATATAAAATAACTAAAGACCATTTATCAAGAAGAAACGTGGAACTTATTGGGCAAAAACATGTGCTCGCCACTGACTAGTGATTTGTTTTAGATATCAATCAATCAATCAATCAATGAAACTTTATTTTCATGAATAGATATATGCAATTACAGGGATTATTTGGACCGATAGCCTAAAGTGGCTAGTGGACGGTCCAATACAATGTGCAACATAAAAAAGTGTACAGGACAGCTCTGAGGTAACGACATCAAAAAAAAACAAAAAAACAATCATATGATACAGATAGCGCAGTAATACATTTTTTCCTGCAGATATGCATACTTATTAGCTTGCAGCTAGTTTCTATACATAGGCACTTAAAAAAATACAATGAAAATCGAATCAAACACACACATGCTTACATGCCTTGACTCCACAGAAAAGTGATTTACATGCCATGCTGAAATTACGTGCCGTTTTAATCTCTAGGGGGACCGTGTTCCATATTTTGTTCCATTAAACTGTATCAGTGTTTCTCCGTAAACATTAAAACATTTGGGCAGATTGAAATTACCATTCGAAGCATGTCGCGTATTGCGTTTAGGAATTGAAAAAAGATCAGCAGGCAAAGGTGAATTTCTATTAATTATGTTATTTACTGAAACGGCAATTTTGTAGTCACGCAACATCGGAACCGAGAGAATGCATTGTGATTGGAAAATATTACTTACTGATTCACCTTGGCTTATGATTTTCAGTGTACGCTTTTGAAGTCGTTCAAGAGTTTTTAGATAACTGTTGTACGTCACACCCCACAATTCCAGACAGTAACCTATGTGACAATGACACAATGAAAAGTAGAGTGTGCGAAGTATAGCTTGCGGAAAATATTGGCGAGCTTTTATTAGAGAACAGCAGCCATAGGCTACCTTTGCGCACACACTCTGTACTTGCTCATGCCAGTCTAAATGTTCATCAAAAGTGACGCCTAAATATTTAAAACAAGGAACTTGTTGAATAGGAGCGTTGTTTATTGTTAGGTTAAGAGATATGTTTGCTTACACCTATAGTTGAAGCTTTGCTGCTAGCGAGTTCAAAAATATCTTTATAAACAACACCTGCTCTAGCCTTTTTCCCCCCGTCATATGCAGTGAGTACTTTCAGGTTGCTTCTCATTTGAATTTATGATAGTGGAAGAGTGTGAGTACAGTTTTACGATGTGCCCACGCTTTATATAAGCGTTGTGTTATAAGTAATTTACTATCCGCGGATTGTCACACTCTTATTTTGTTTTGATTGTAGTAAACGATGACTTGAGTTATGCGTTAAGCAGGACGCGTCACAAATGATTACGCCAGTCATAGCGCTTCTTTGCTCACTTATATTTGCAGACTACGACAGCGAAGATGGGCACCGGTCAGCGACGCGGCTTGTCCGGCGTGGAACGCTGGAACTCGGCTGAAGCCCGCGCACCACCAAGAGATCCACGCGCAGACCATCCATCACACGACGATAAAGTGAGTGGCGCACCACGCGGAGAATACGAATTGCCGCTGCTCTGCTACGCGAAGGCGCAGCGTCGGGCACAGCGCGTGGCATAGGTGGGCCGCTTCCGGCCCGCCTATCTTGCGACCCAAATTAGGGGGCCCCGGCTAGTTTGGAATATTAAAGAGCCGAAGAGTTGGCCAGTGAACGTTAGGCAGTGTAAGCAGCCCAGGTGTGGCCCTTGAGATCGCCGAAACGCGGGGTTTGATCTCGTATAGGGAAGTGTGTGGCCACTTTTCTAGCTTTGACAAATTGGAATGTTTTCGTACTTAACAAAAGAAAGCATGGGTTTTCAAAGGTTTCTTCGTGGGCAACAGTGCAACAAACTGTACTCGACAGAAAAACCACAGGCAGAACGTCCTAGCTTTAAAGTGTTTCATTTCGAATTTACAAAGTATTTTACACACAAGGGCCGTCTGCGCCTATATTCGTGATTGTGTTATGAACTGAAACATTTGTGATGGCTTTCGAGGTAATCTCACAGATAATCGGGACATAAACCCCTGTAGACAGTGTACTTTGTTGGTACAGGAACATTTCGAATCTAAATGCAAAATAATAGAAGTAGCCGGAAAGAAGCCATATAGTAACCACGAACTTTTAGTCCCAAGACGAGGTTGTGAAGAAAACAAGTGCAAAGCAGCCACTCAAAGCAACCCTGAGGTCAGACGTTAGTGTTCGTCAAACTTTCACAGCTGAAAGCCGCGTGTAATACCAGCATATGCATTGAAATGCCATTCCGATCAACATCGACCGAATGATACGTTGCACTTAATTGGCGTATGGTGTGAAACATGAGAATTGAAGCTTAGTGCTTCGAAGACGGAATGTATTACATTTAGCAACAAAAAACAACCCCTAGAATTTGCCTATACTATTAATAATGCTTACATTAAAAACCAATATGGAAGTATTTAGGTCCTACACTTACAAACAAGTTAGCTTGGGAAACACACATAGAAAACTTGCAGCAACACGCTAAAAAAAGCTTGCATTTTTGGAACTAAAACTATGTTGTACGTCGTCGACCGTAAAGTTAACTGCACACAAGCCTCTCGTGAGACCAAAATAGAATATGCTGATGTGATCTGGAGCCACACCAAAAGTACTTGATCAGGGAATTAGAAAGAGCGCAAAACATAGCCTTGAGGTTTATGTACACTACATACTCACATTTTTCCAGTTTGATGGTCTTCTGTGACAGGGCCAAATTGAAAAAAAAACTAGCTCATCGCGGAACTGTATCTCGCTTGAAACGTTTATATCAACTACAGCATGGTCACTACAAAATACCGCGTGAAAACTACATAATTGAGCCCCCATGAGGTCTGGTCATGCAAACCACAACAAAACAGTCAGATAGCCGTTCCGTAATCCTAATATACACCTATATTTTCTTTTTCCGCATGCTATAACACAATAAAATAAACTACCCGAAGAAGTAGTAAACGCTAATACTGCTGAATCACTTGTTCACTTTCTAAATAATGTTTCGTTTGATATGTAAAGTTATGTTTATGCTGAACAACTTTATGTCAGTTAACTCTCGCGTTAACTTTTTCATGAGTAGTGTTCATCTCATGTGTTGAAATATTGTACATGCACGTTTTATCACTTACTAAGTTGTGCATTTGTTATTGCGAATCATATATATTTATTCATTTTCTTCTGATTGTTGATTATGGTTTACTACTCAAATTGTCGATAGTTGTAAGTTTTAGTGTTGGTATTGTTTTTTCAATGGTATTGCCACTCCTGCTTGGGCCCGAGTAGGGCCTGCAGTATTTGTAAGTAAATAAATAAATAATAAGAAAGTGTAACGCTGTGCACTGAGTGTATTTTTGTTGGTTCGTGATCACACCTCAAATTTATTGATTTTGATATTTGATACGAATGCGAAAATCTTGAAGGGGTATATATATAAGCCTAAGAAAACTCAGAAGTGTGTGCACACACACGCACACACAGTGAGAGGTAGAAAGAGATAGAGGAAGGTCGAACAGCAGCCATGACCATCCGGGGCCCCGATGCATACATATGCACAAGCAGAATTTTGCATGTGCAAAGCAATATAAAGGGTGTGAGCTGTCACTTAATGAAATACAGGTGTCGAATTCAAATTCAGTGCCCAATCATGATATGTTTCTCAAGAAAGAAAATCATGAAAATTGCCTGTCTAAGTAAGTCATGTCAGTTCTGCGAATTTCACTTAGAGCTTTGCACGTGCAGAACATTTCACTGGCGCAAAAACAAAAAAGGGCAATAAAAGAAAGTAGAAGTGAATCTGCTTTCAGCACCACCATTGACTAGCAGAAATCGCCGTTGGTAGGCTGTTTCACGGGAAAATGATCAAGAAGAAAGGCGTGTCTTCAGTGCACAAAAGAAACAGAGGTGCGAGCTAAAGGTACTCAACTGGCGCTGCTGTCACGAACACTTAAATTAAGAGTCTCAATGCTGTTGCATATTTATCATCATTCTTCATATTTAGACGTCAAAAGCAAGCGCATTAAAAAAATTTGCGCCGTATATGCATGTTACACTGCAAATGTCGTCGAAAGACAATAGTAGTCAGCGCAACGTGATAAACTCTACCGTACTTAGAATTACTTTTGTATGCATTTTCTAGTAAAACACACATTCAGAATACTGACGTGTTGTTATGGTGCCTCAGATATGCACAACAGCTGATTTTTAATTGCCAATCACACAATTATGAACGCCGAACCTCGAGGAATATTGGTGGGCGCGCCAGATAGTGTCGGCCATTTGGGGTATCGTTTGGTGTCGTTTATGGTGCCGTTAAGGGATGAAAAATAGACATAAGTACAGACAGACAGACCCAAATTTTTGCGTCAAAGGTTTCTAAGAAAGACTATCGTCTTTAAAAGTTTGGCATCTCCGACTTTTCAGCACAATAAAGATCCCACTTCCAGTGACATTTCGCACAAGAAACGGCTTAGTAATTTCAATATTTCTTAACAGAACTTTTTTATACTGAATTCAGTTAGGTCTAAGCGTAAACTGTGTAATACGTGTGCATCGGGCATATTTTTAGCCTGTACAGTTATGCACTCGAGAGCTGAACGGTGCCGAAAACGACATCTTGTCGCGCTTCTCTACGTCTCACCTTCAATATCCAAGTACATTCAAAAGCCTTGGTGCACCGAGTGTTAGCGTACGCCACTCACACTAAAGTATCTTTTACCGCAGGTACCAATTATGCAGGTTTTACGCGCTGTGCCTCATCTCAACATACAATTCTGTGTTATAATACTTCTTCTACGCCGCAAGCCTAGTTTCTTTAGGCACGTTGAATTCCTCCAGGGTAGAGGATGTCAAAAGCGCGACACTTTCTGATCAACTTTCGCCAGGAACGGAAAACGGAAGAGGGTTGGTGCCTTTATGAATAGTAGCCCCCTTCAACATCCTCCTTTATCGACGCAGAAAGTCACGCTCGTTCCAGAATTCCTCGCAGTGGATAGCGGGAAATACCTGCAGGGCGTGCCTCAGTGATATTACATCTGCATTGCAAATTGCTTCATATCGAAGTTAGTAGGGCTTCTACGTGAAAAAAAAAATCTAGACGACTGCTGAAGGAACGAGGTGTGTATGGCAGTCAAGTCAGTTGGTGGATGTGGAGGCAGGATTTCCTCTAGCATTGCGGTCGGTGAGAGGAGAAATGGTAGTTGGCAGCTTACTTTAGAAAAAAGCATGGCTAACTGATGCGAATAGGGTCTTCGCGTCTCTCCGCCATGCCTTTAGGGTAAAGGAATTCTTCAACCTTACATTTTCTAATTAGTCGTCTGGTCGTGAAGTCGTGCTAGTTTAACGTAATTTGCAGCCCACTCAGCGACCCTGCTCCAGGTTTCTTTCCGTGGTTCGTTTGCCACGTCTCCGTACTCGCGCTACTGTTCGCATTCTTGTGGGCACATGCCCTCGGGGGAAAGTCAGTCTTAAGACCGCAATAGCGAGCACCAAGGGAGCAAGCATACTTAAGAGTAATCGGCATAGCTCACCGCTTTTGTGTTTCCTTTACCCTGATGAGTGCACGGCGCCCTTTCGTCCTAATTGCATAAACGCCGGGTCTGTTGCGATCAATTTCTCAAGAGCTCACTTTCTCGCTCGTCGGGCCTTGAAGAACTTGACGGTGAATCAGCCCCTGGCGCTCTAATTATAGATGCCGTGCTAGAAACGTGGACATCACTTTGTTATTCTGCAGCGAGTACTTATATTATACCGCAATATTTCCACCGGCAATGAATGTAGTATAACAGTCAATGATAAATTGTGAAGACGTGAAATGTTAGCAAACTTCCGCGCAACATTTCGTGCTGCGCTGTCCCGAGCAAAAGACACACCCGCGAAAGGATTTCATGAATGCTGATCTGCATCATCAGGCTACCTAGCGCGTTCCCACTGACCTGTATGCGGTGTTGAGGGACATGATCTCTGCTTTCGGTTTAACACCCCGATAGTGACAATTTGTGTCGTACTTGGAGCACCAATTTCATAAAACTCTGCAAAATAGCTTTAGGTTATCAATACTATGCGAGAAAGCGGGAGAGGTTTGGCTGATGAGGCTGCTCGAAAACAAAAAAAAACAGAAGAGGCAACGCAATAAATACAATAATGATTGAGAATATGTAAGCAAATAATAATGGATAGACATGCAGTGTTCATTGGTGTCCAGAGAAGAGGAGCTCAAGCAGCTAAGAATTTTCAGCGATGTCATGCCATTCGGTTTAGGTAATCCGCATGCCCACATGAATTATTCTAGCTACAATAATGTTTTCTGTACGTACCGAAACAATTAACGTTGTATACGTTTGTTCCTTGAATAGGCTGTTTTCTTTCTTATTTTTTCCCAGTGGACTTTAGCAGAGTGGTGACCTGGGTCTGTTGCCTACTACAGAAGTGCATCAACCAGCACTCCCCTCCCGAAGCGACTTTGAGACACTGCTGTCACAGACGTTGAGGACATCGCTGGAGACAGATGAGGTGCTGCAGAAAGTGCCAGATAGGGGGCTTCAGCAAAACCCCTTTGCAACGAACGTAATCTCTAGAAAAAGGGATGAAAACATCACTGCTCATCAGCCGGGACTACTTGGTGCTTTACTACAGCATGGAATACCTTCGCATTACCTCGCCTGTAATGAAACCGGTCGCGATGAAGAGCGTGGGGGTGGTTGCTTCCCCGTAAAAGGAGAACAAAACAAAAGGTTATTCAGTGACGTTTCTAGTGAGTTTTGAAAGCGATTGTCGAGATGGCCTTTTCTGGTGGCAGGACATCTCTTGTCAAACGCACTTTGATGCCTTCAGTGAAAGACCGCGAAGGGTGCGAACACGTTAACCATTGTGACTGGAAACGTCCAAAGTGATTCTCTTCTAGTGAAAATCAACAGTGACACCAACCCCTTGACTGGTGAGCGTGTCACCGCGCACGGTCACCAAGACACGAGAAAAAACAAACACTCAAGACAGCAGCGCCAGCGACGTCGGTGTATTGACGCTTTTGTTAGTTTTTATTCTCTTTAGGTTGCATTGCGATGTGTGGCCTGTGTGTACTGTTTTCGATGACAGGGACTTGGTCCGCTTATATTTGTGACGGTTAGTGCGCTGTGAAAAAAAAAGTGTGTGTAAGTTGCATTTTTACTCATTGCTTAGGTGTTTGAGTGCGATCTCCTGGTGGTACCGCTCGTGTGGCAAATCTCAAAGTCAGCCGCCCACGAACGCGGATTTCAAGCATTCGCGTTCTGGTTGCACCACCTGAAATCGAAGTTATGTGCTTTAGAAGCAGTCAGGAACTGTGCTCATCCGAAGTGTGGTATCAAAACCTGTGCTTATACGTAAAACTGCGTTTGAAAGCTCTCCGTCATCGAAACTGCGAAGCATAGTTTTTTTCGCTAGTCTTTGCATTGAGCGACTATAGGTCGTAACGTCATCAGTGCAGTTTTCTTCTCTTATCTAACGTCACTTAATGCAGCGAAAGCGTGAGCAAACTTCGAATCGCTTAATGCTCGCATAAATACTCTCACATGAAACGCAATACTCAATATTCAATTTGAAAGCAAGCCACTCCCAACCTATTTCTTAAAAAAAAACGTTGTTTTTGTCGATTAGTGCATCGATCAAGTTTAGAAGCACGTAGTAAGTTTTATGCTAAACTTCAGTTCTCTTAAAGGAACTCAATGTATATAAAATTCCAATGTAGGCATGGCGAAAAGTAGTCAAGTGTAGGTTTCGTGTTCTGCTCCTCCAAGCTTCGCAATTTCGATGGTGTGGTGAGTTGATGTAAATACTGCTACTTCGCTTTGAAACCAAAATACGCAAAAAGGTGCTGGGATTGCGAAATCCTGGTGATGTTAATGTACAGGGGGCGTCTTAGCAAACAGAAGCGAACTCGTCCACAAGTCGCTTTGCTTTATTTTTCAATGTTTGTATAGCTCAATCGTGCAAGTGTTTGTAAAGTTAATCTGATTTTCTCAATGTTTGCAGCAAGAAAGGGTCAATGGTTACGTTTTTTTCGTGCAAGGTGCGAGCTTGAAAGATTGTTTTTTCCGTGTTAGTTTAAGGATGGCGAATATGAATGGTCATCAGTTGGGGGAAATAAGGGAGGGATAGACACCGCGAAAGTAATGCATAAAACATTTGTTGTACGATTCGTTTTCACTTACAATAAAACTATTTGCAATAAAGGAACAAAACGAGAGCCTCGTTCCAAATCATGGACATATCCACGTGGTTTTTAACATTATATATATATATATAGATATAGCATCGAACGCATTATTTGAAGGTCGTAGGTCGATTCCTGCTCACGGTGGTTATTTTTATGCATTTTCTTTTTTCTTCTTTTTTATTACATTGCATTGGTTGTAATAACTTCCCCTGTACATTCCTTGGCGTTATATCTGTAGATCTCACTAATATGTGTTAAAACAGGAAAAAAAACGAGCCCTTAGGTATACATTCTTTCCCGTATTTTATATATATATATATATTATATTCTGTTCAATGTCTGGTGTATTTACAGGTTGCAGACATGCGACATATTTAGCCTCTTCGTGCTCATACATTAGGAAAATAAACACTTCAGCATGTTGACTGCGTTTGGAAAAATATTTGTGTGCAGGAATTTTCAATTGAAAAGTTGACGAAAAAACTGTAGTTCAGCAAATGCAACAAGAGAGCGTAGTAAATATATCAAGCTACAAAAAAATCATTTTTGTTCAAACTTGCCGCAGGACTAATACTACCTGTGCTTTCTGTTATATCGATACAAAATCAATCGAATTTCTAGAACCATCGCACTGCGTACATGCGAAGGCGAGAAATAAAAATTCAGGAGTCACACAGTAAGAACAGAGAAAAAGGGAGCAACAGAGGAACATATCAGGAACTTGTCAGCGATTATTGAAAGTGTCAAGGCATTGACCGTCTGTTTTTGTTTTTTTCGGAGAGGCTTTTCTATATGTACCTAATGATTTTCAATAATACTGTCATGTCATGAGATTTTCTAAGGTAACTTCATCCGTCGAATGCATAATAATAGACTTGAGACGATACGCAAAGAATATTTGAAATCAGTACAGCTTTCTAGGATGCTTCCAAGCTCGGAAAGTTCACCGATTTGAACTTTTTTTGTTTTGACATTCTCACAACGCTATAAACAGCGATGTACAATTAAAAAAAAAAGCTTGAGCATTGTTATTTCTTTTATTTTCTGCTTTTTCGGTAAAGCTGGTACTGGGGGCCATATTCAAGTGAGGATAACTGCTTTTCTATTGTTATTCACTCGAGGAAAGTTTTATTTAGGAGGCAGGAGATAGAGAGAGTAAAACTTTATTGAAGGGGAAAGGGAGAGGGGCGTTTTAGAGCCTTTATGGTTGGGGACCTACGTCCAGGGCTCCACTGGCCTTAGCCGCCGCCGGACTGATCCAGTAGTGCGCGCGCACTCCTGGGTCCGAGCTAGCGAGAGTGTGCCTCCACATGCTCCATACTAGGTGTTAAAGGTTCGCCGAGAAAAATTGGTTATGTCACTTGGTTTACGATCGCACCCCACGATATGTGGTAGAGAGTCGGTCTTCCGCGCACCACGGACCATACAGCCGGGTAAAGAGTTGGATGTATGCGTGTAACTTCAGTAGGTGCGGAAATACATCCGTTTGAATTTTTCTAAGGTCAGTGGCCTCTTCCCCCATTAAGGGATCTGTGAGGTGTTCCACATTTTTGACGCGTGAAGCGCTGGTGAGCTAGAATCTCCCTAGGTAAAATGGCATGGTCAATGAAGAGATGGATTCTCCGCTCGGTTACAAAACGCACGAGCTAGAGCGTCCGCCCTTTCATGCCTTCGAGACCTGCGTGTCCCGGGACCGATCACGCGATGGTGGTGAGTGAGTTGGATACTAGCAACCTAGCCCCATTGTCGGAAGGCGGCCCCTTAAAAGAGCCGGAGGCTTCCTGGGAGTCGGATAATATAACTGATGGCTCCCACTCACGCTCTGAACCTTAAGGCTAAGGCTATGGCCATGCGTCTCCGCCTTTGTAGCCGAGGTCGTGCGTACGGAGGCACTCGTTAGCAGCGTCATGTTGTTGTCGACAACAGAATTATGTGTCTCTGCCAATCGAAACTGGCGCATTCGAACGTACGCGACATTTGAAGCTGAGCCGAATTGCTCTCGAAGCCAGTTTACCCTCGCAGTACGTCGCTCAGCGTGAAAGTCGTGATGCATATTTTGGGCACCGGTGCGATTGAGATTCGCCTGCGGACCCTCTTGGGCTACGTCGACCAGCTCCTCATCAATGTGCTGTGGTGGGGCGAAATTCCTATTTCTAGTGAGTATCGCCCTGCCTGCGAAGTTCACTTAGACGATTTCCTCTGATACATGAGGATGCGGCACTGAGCTCAGCATAAGTGTTCATGTATACCAGGAAAAAGACGGATGCTGCAGCAGTGTTCAGGATCATCGAAGCTAGGTTGCTTATCCCTACAGGCTCCAAAAGAGAATAAAATGTGGATATTGCTCTGATTCATTCAAAGTCTTTCTTTTGTCGAAGTCGTTTGTACCGCGATGATTGAACTAAAACAGTTTCACAAAGACACAACGGCAGGCAATCAAAGCGTGCACGCAATCTTCAGACACGTCTGCCACCACAAAAGTCACAGAACACTCTGCAGGCAAGTTTATGATATGCGAACAAAATGAATGAAGCTATGCCTGATCCCCAAGCTTCATTTTAAGCTTGACTTGATGACCTTGCTTTTTACAGCGTTGCTGTCTTGCTTTTCATTATACCAAGTCACGTCAAGAAAAAAACTATCATCGTGAAACGACTCACTTTGTCTTCTGCTTGGTTCCACAACACGGAGCTTATTTGTCCAGAGTGGGGTATATCAACTGACGGGCGAGAGAAGTTTTTCACAAATATACCTAGATATTTGTGACAGTGGCGTCACAAAATTGTGGAGCCACCGTCTATACGAACTTCTTAAAGCGCCTTTAGGTGGAAGCACTGGGAATGATGGTATATGTGTCTGCGAAGCTTGTGTTGGCTGGTGTTGAGTGAGGCTTCAGTTCGAAGCGAATACGACTGTTTAAATAAAGCTTCTCTAAAACAAAACGTTTATAAAAGGATCTCATCCACGCGAATTGTATTTTAAACAATAGTCCCTCACCTTGACGGCATATTAAAACGGCGAAAGAAAGAAACTTCTCTTCGGTCGAGTTCAGTGGGCATGCGGAGAGCCACAAAGGGACAGGTGGTGTTCACGATAGTATCGATGCTTGGTGGGCACCATAGTGAAAACGTGATTTCACGCGCAAGTCGTCGGAGATTACTGGCAGCATCGATCCTCGAAAGTGGTATGGCTTCTTCTCGTGTTCCTTCAAGGGCTGCCCGCGCGGCAGTATCGGCATATTCGTTCCCTATGATGCCGCAGTGACTTGGTAGCTATTGAAGCGTCACATGATGCCCTTTCTCGTGTGAAGTGTTGAGAAGGCATCGAATTTCGAAAAGAAGCTGTTCGTATGGCCTGCGACGCAGTGCTGAGAGCACAGATTGTAGGGCAGCCCTTGAGTCACTGAAAATCGACCATTGTTGGGGTGGTTCCCGATTGACCACACAAAGTGCAGCGCGCATAGCAGCTAGTTCCGCTGCTGTAGATGCCGTGGAGTGGTCAGTCCTAAAGCTGATGGTAACACCTCTTGCTGGGATAA